GATCGAGCTGCAGTTCCTGATAAGCTAGTCGCATTGAGGTGACTCTAAAAGAAAGAGCAATGGTGGGTACCAGCTCATTACCCTCCCCGCCCCACCCCATGCTGTGGAAGGGTAGAGGGGAGAGTAACCCTGACAACCCATCAACACACCCATTTCCACAACAGCTCTATCAAAAATGCTTGCATAGAAGCTACTACTGTGTCTTCCCATCTCACCTCCACTGGGATTCAACTCTTTTGGCTAACCATGATTTCCTTACAGTAAGCATTGTACCTCCCCCAGTCCCTGACAGAATGCCCCAGGCAGTTCAGCCTTTGCCTTTTTCAGTCCAGTCCAAAGGTCAACAGAAACACTTGCATATCTGCTCCTTAAACTCTTCCAGGGATGCTAATTTGAATAAAATATGGCAGTATAACTTGTGCCCCATTGTAAGGGCCATATTGCCTTTTAGCTACTGCTCATCCTATCATGCAGCATGTTCTTTACTCACATTAGGTGGTCCTAGGGTGAATAGCATTAACCTCCTATTACTTCTGCTTTATATATGCAAGGTATTCAGTCCTAACAGGGCACTTACATGGACTCCTCAGCTTGTTTCCTGGACTCCACTGCCTGCTGCTCCCTCAGCTGCTCTGCCACCTGGGCTTGCCGCTCAATCTCGCTGAAGCTCTGGCTGCTCACTTTCTGGGCTCCAAGACCTTTTTTTGCACCCAACTTGAAAAACAAAACCAAGAAAATGCTGTTTCTTCACCCTAGATTGTTCATTGTAGAAGAAAACCAGAATCCTACTCCTTGCTGCACTCATCAGGCCTTCGGTCTCCATGTGTAGTCACAGCCTACAGACCCAATAGAGCTTGCAACACAGTATGAAAGAACACCCAAAGAGTTAACCCACCAGTTGCCAGTGCTAAGAGATCAGCCACATACACTTCAGACCACAACAAGTAATGATCCAAAACCTAATTGTTTTTGTCCATTAATGTATAAGATATCTCTCAAAATAAGCAGTGATATAATCAAAGCTCTCCCTTCCCCAAATGGATCTCTCAGTATGCAGCTTCATTAAGGGCAGAAAGCAAGAGCCAGGGAAAGGAAGGCAGTAATATGACACATTGGTCTACCTCCTCTCCATAAAACAAGAGCTCAGACATACCCCTTTCTTGGCAGCTCCTGGCTTCTTCTTTCCAATGAGGGAGGATTTAAGTTCTGCAAGAGGAGGGAAGCAGCAAATAAGCAGAAGTGAATTAATTTAAGAAGCCAAAATTAGTCAGCAACCCACATGAACATCCACCACAGTCCAGCTGCTATAGAGTCCAGGGCACACCATGCAGCTTCACATCAGAAGCCTGAGTGACTTCACCCAGCCAAGAAAGATGCACTTAGAAGCTTCACAATTGCAGGCTGGTGGCCTAGAGAAGCATGTCCATTACTGGAGAAACTTGTAAGTGAATTAAGACCTTTGAGTAGCTCCTCCAAGTGTCATGCAGCTGGTGACCCTATCCAGTAGGGATCAGGGTAGCTAGAGAAAGACTGGATTTATTCCATATATAAATCCAATAAAACGCAACTTCAGAGCCACACGAAGGTCAGTGCCTCTCCAATGCCTTAGGGACAAGGGAGCAAGAACCCTAAAGTCACATTTACATGAACAGACCAATGACAAAATGGACCTAGAGTGCAGCAAGCTGTAAAAGCAACAGGTTCCCCAACACCTTGCACCAGGAACCTGTCACTCTGAGGGCATGAAGCATGCCACACTTGTAAAACCAGCCAAGGTCCAGCCAAGCAGCAGATGCCTGGGGAAAAGTGTAAGAACAAAGCAAACAGAGAGGGGCTGCCCAGGACACTTTCCCAGCTTCCAACACATAGCTCCAAAACCTTTTATCACCCTTGTTGGGCTTTTCTTCCACAGAAGTGTCTCCTTACTTTCTACACCCACATGACTTTCATCAACCCATACTTTGGATCATTCTTGACAGCCTTTCCTGTATCTTTTCTAGTCTTACTGTGAGGTTTTGAAATGGGGGCATTCACACAATCCAAGACTGTTTTTAGCTCAGTGTTCCTAAAATTTGATTTGGGGGTTGTTATTTTTTTTTTTTTTGTTACTGTCAGGAAATATTTAACAGAAATGACAATAACATCCCTTTCCAAAGAAACAAATAGCTGGTTTAGATCCCAATATGGTACATGTAAGCTTTGGCTCATTCTCTCCCTCCAAGCACAGGAAACTAAAGTTAGAGTTGAAGCAGAATCACAGAAGGGGCAAGCAGAGCTGTCACAAGCAGCCAGCGCAGGCCAGCTGTTAGCCAGTTACCTCTGGCAGGAGCAGGCCCTTGTGTTGATAGATACATGGACATGTCTGAGGAAGAGACATAAAATACGGGGAATGAATAGACACTTGAGGACACAGGCCTTCCACCCAGGATGAACCCACTGTGGGCTAGGAGCACACTCTCAGTAACAAAAGAAGCTCCAGGAAGATGCTCTGTGTGCAGCCAGGACAGCAATGGCAGGGAACAGTTGGATACAAATCCCTATTACTCTGGAAGCTAAGAATTCATTTGCCTCCAGAGGTTCTGGGGGAAAAGAAAAACAAAACACCAAACCCAAATCAAAGAACAACCACCACAGCCACGTGGCTTTGATCAGCCAAGTTCTAGATAAGCAATTGCCAAATTTTGTCCAAAGCTCAAAAAAGTGAAAGCAAGCTTTTGGGAAGGTGACAGCTTTCATCCAGAGGAGGAAGCCTCCAGTGAACTGTGGCTTGGTTTTGGGGTTCAGGGAGATCCTCAGTACTGGTTCCATAGAAGATAAGCTCCTTTAGACGTTCGGAAAATTGGCTTATCAGTTCCAGCTCCACTGAGCTTAATACTGAACAGTAGGTATAAGAGCAAGACTGATCTGAGAAAGAGTGAAGAGCCTTACTTACCTAGAGGAGCTTTAGGAGATGTGCTCAACAAGTCAATAGATGGGCCTTGGCTGGAATCTGTGGGCACAAAACCAGAAGAGAACATTCAGCAGATTGATTCTGAATCCCTTTCTTTTCAGTGTGCTGACAGTTCCTTCGATCTCTTCTACCTCCTCTGCCCTTCCCCCCTCATCAAACAAGCTAAGTTACAGTTTGAAATGTGCAATTTCCCAAGCAACACAACTTTACGTCTCCACAGAGCAAGTTATTCCCTCTGCAGCGTTCTTAACACATTAAAAGAAAGCAAACACCCTGCAGGGGAATACACAAAGGTGTGTCAAATTACAGCAATGCCCCCAGATTCTTGGTTTCCTTGTTATTCACCCTAGAAACAGATTTTTTTTCCTCTGTATTCATATATCATTTCCAGACCCACCAAATTCAAGGGTTGGAGAAGAGCGTTCAGACAAATAACTACATCTAGAAGCAGGGAAACGAGGCAGCTAATCCCCAAAACAGTTCTGTGCGCATATCAGAAAAAGTGGAGAATTGATTGATCCCCAACAGAGCAGCTTTTAGAAGTCCCCACTAATTTAACTAAACATCATAGAGTGCACAAAGCTTACACTCCTTCAAGTTTGAATGAAAAAAAAAAAAAATAAAAAAGCTCAGCCCTTCCAGTTGTGGTACAGAAGTGTATTCTCCTGGAAATGAAGTCTGGTTCTTTGAGAAATTATTCAGCAGGGAACTCACTCGACACTTCACTGCCTTCTGATGACTTTGCTGCTTTTTCTGCTTCCGGGGAAGACTGTGCAGGATTCTGGCTGGCATCTGCTACGTCCCAGGTACTGGAAGACTGCAAGGAGATGCTCATTTCAGTGATTTGCAGAAGATCAATGAACCAAACAATCCTGAACTTACTTCAGGTTTAGTATTTAGTTTTAGGCCAAAGGAAACATGTTCCAAACTCCAGACTATGCCTTCACTGAAGATAACATATGGACAAGTCCACATTCCCTTAGCAGAGACAAAAATTAAAGAAAAAACCCAGAAGCTAAGCTGAATGGAAGGCCAGGAGGAAGGCCAGCACCACTCAACATTAGTATCAGAGTCGGCTGCTGCAAGGACTTCCCAGGTTAAGGAGATGAGCTTAAATTAGGAGAAAGTGTGAATGAGTTTCCCTGGAAAAAGATAATCTCAGTTTCCACTATCTTTATTGCCATACAGCCAATTCTCACATGACAACGTTCACTTGAGAAAGTCCGCCTAGCATTGTGCAAACAGTTGCCCAAATCCACTTTACCAAGGTCTATGCACTGAAAAGCTGACTAAACCAGAAGTTCAAAGTAATCACCAGTTCTTGCTTTAATTGTACAAAGAGACTACGCATTAACACAGTACATAAAGCATTTTCCAGGGAGCAGCTGGTAGCTCGGAGTATTCCTTGAAGATAAAGACAGTCTCAAAAACAAAGGGCATGGATATTACAGGCCCCATGAGGCACTGTTTAGATCTCTGACTATGTCCCAGGCTGATGACTGAATCTTAGTTCTTCCGTGTTGCCACTGAACGAGTTTACAATTTAGAGTCCTTCCAAACTAAGCGGGACTACTCCTGGCTGAACAGCGGCTCTCCGAGAACTGTAAAGGCTGTCTGGTTTAGATAGTTCTTCTCACCTGTGTGTGCTCCATGAAGAAATCAGCATCACTCTTGTCAGGGGAGTGCCCAGGGGCTCCACTCAGTCCATCTATAAGCAGCTGAAGAGAGGAGAGGGGAAAAAAAGAAGGTATCCTACAAGACTCAGCATCCAGCACTATCCATCTACTGGTACGGAGCTGCTCAGACTTACATCAGTGCCATACTTGGCCATGGCAGCACTTGCCAGCTGCCGGATCTTCTCCCTGTACATCTGGGCAGCTCGACTATTATACTTAGCATTGGCATCTGTGGTAGTACAGCCATGCTGGCGGAAGAAAGCAGTCTGAAAAGAGAAGAATATTCAGTCTCCCGACTGCTAGGTCATACTCAAGCAAGCATTAGACAAACTCAACAGAAAAAGGAAGCTTCCCAGAGAAAGGGGATGATACAGTGAGCACACAGCATTAACCAGCCATTCCTTGACCAGCTCTCTCCAAGAAGTCTCACTCCAGGCCCCAGAGGCCTAAGAAAACCATCCCTGTCCTCCACAGGAGGATGCTTCTGAGTCACAATGCTGAGCATGAGCATTCAAACTGATCAGCATTACTAAGTCCTTTCATTTCAGAGGACCACACCTCTCATTTAAATGAGATGTAAGGAAATGACAGATCTGCACATCAGAAAACAACACACTCAAGGGTCACAGTCTGACTTCCAAGCACACCTGACAAACACCTCCCCTCATTACACATTTCAGATGAGGTCAGTACCAAGAAAGCCACGCAAAGGAAAGGGACAAGAAACAGAGGATGTGGATTAGCAAGAGGGAAAGCAAGCAAAATGCCTACAGAGGCTCCTCACCGCGTTGGCATTGCTGCCCACTTGCATACACCTCAGCTGGAACCAGTTCCAGTTAGAATCCAACTCTGTGGACCTGTGTGAGAACCAATTATTTCTATTAATAATGTGCAGACGTACCAAATGCAAAAGCAAGCTCTAAGCTAGAACGGACAGATATCCCACTACTATCCCACAGTATAGGAGGCAAAGGTGGAAATAACACCTTGGTAACTTCTTGGATCCCGTAAGAAATTCATCTGCACTTTTACAGTGAAGAAAAAGCCCCACAGTTACAGCTTCACACTAAATAACAACGTCCAAATTTAGAGGACCTCTCACTTGCGTTGCTTGTTAAGAAGGTAGAGCTTGAGGTAGGAAAGCAGAGCCAACAAGTTTTGTTCTACACGGTATCTCACCACATCAGACTCATGTTCAGCCCGCCCCACAGATTAGGCCAGAACACATGACAAAGCAACTGAGAAAACAGCCAAGTAAAGCTCGGTGACAGAGTATCTCTCATACCAGTTACTCAGCTTATCTCTGAATAAGTAAAGGTCACAGTTCTGTTACTTAAAATGCCACCTTTTACAAGTATTGAAAATAAGAAGAACGGGCTGAAAATCCACACCATCTTCCCTACCAGATTGATAAAGAAAAGATTAAATAGTATTCCTCCTTTTGCCTTGCACAGCATTACAAGAAAGACTTCCACATTGCTGCTTTACTGGCAAGATTCACACACCACACTCTCCTCTCTGCTTCTACAATTCGGAGTCCGGACAGCGTTCCTGCAAGCTCAGCGAAAGTAACACGTCGATGTTCCACTGCGGGGCTCTGGAAACTCCATCTTGGAAGGGCCGAGTGACCTAAAACCTCCCCCGAGCAAGCCGCACAGAACCCGAAGCGATCGCTCCGTGATAACGCTTCTCTCTGCCCGAGTCCCTGCGCATTCCCACACCCAGGAGGCACAGCTGCTCCGGGCCCGCCCGGCGGCAGCCCAGGCCCGCA